ATGACATGATAATGTGATTTTTCACATTAGAGGATCCAGATCCTCGACAGATAGACACCACTCACTTTCTTTTCAATCAAAATCAACATTCTTATTATTTGATTTCGCTGGTTTTTAATCCAAATCAACATCTTTAATATTTCATTTTGTATCTCATTTTTTTTAGTACATATAAGTTTAGGTGAGGTTAGATATTAGTATTCCATTAGGATTAGGGCAAAATTTCAATTTCTTTGAAGATTTATGAAAAAAATTATAAATTGTCTATTAATAAAATCCTCACGTCGACGAATAAACTCATGTCCTCATAAAATATGAACCTAATCCTTAATCAATTACCCTCGTTGGCTTGTTTCTCATTTATGTATGTTGGGACTATGAATTCAAAAACACAATCGATGCTATCAAAATTGACTTATACGTGCATGTTTGCTACCTAGTTTTATGATTTTTTAGACATAATTTTTTTTTTTTTATAACATTTTAGACATAATTTTATATTAAGTGATAATATTTTTCTTTTATTTTAATGATTATTTATGTTAATTATGTTTAATGTTAATTAATTTCTAATCATTTATTTTTACTTTTAGGAAAAAAATTTATGTGTATTAATTTAATTAAATTATAATCAATTATCTTTATTTTTTTTTATCTTTTTAGATATTTTAAAGTCAATTGACACCATATACTAGGGTGTTTAGAATTCTTATAGTAGGTTGTTGAATTTTAAATATTACTTCTCAAGAATAATTATTTTTGTAATCTATTATAAATTGGTTTGTTTAACTATTTTCTTTTATTTTGACATTAATAATTCTCATCATTGAATCTAAATAATTAACATAATTAAAATTTGAATCTACAACCGCATACCTACTTATTCATATATGATATATCTATTAATAATCCTTATTCCTTACAAAGCGGAAACCACTTCATACACATGCATCAATAGTTCAGTCATTCAGTGTACCCGAAAGATATTATTGGTGTAAATACCACATCATTGTTAGGAGGGGCTAGGCCCCTAATCAACCGACACAAAATTTATAGGTAAGAAACACACCAATTAAAAAAATCCACTAAAATTAGCATGAATGAATGAGTCTTATATATGGATCTTCCAAAAAAAACTTAAGTGGTTAGATACATGATATGTATATGTTTGCTCTAGTAAACCGTATAAGATACTTTAATGGTATACATTTAGAGATATTTAAGAGATAAATATTTGATTGACTTAGAGTCAATACTCCAAATACTGCACTACACTATCAATGGGTGTATAGTCAAGACGTGAGTATGTGCACAGTAGTAAAAGTAATAGTAAATACGTCAAAAGTGTGTACATGAGATTACTTCTTGGATTTGGACTTTCAAGATCTCCCAATTAATATGGGATTTTGCCTCTAATTGCTAGGAATAAGGATCTCATCTTTTGATCCTTATCATATTATATTATTCAGATATGAATGAGATATATTATAATTCTTTATTGAATATGCGGTGAAGATATAGATCCAATCCATAACACTATATTATATTTCTTAATACTCTTTCTCACCCATCAGCTTTTTTTAAATTTGAAGGATGGATAAATTATTCTATTATGTGTTAAGAAATTATACAATATATATTAAAAAAATGTGACATCAATGTCATACAAGTATATGAATAGTTTTTATATTACATTTCTTGATAAAAATTTCACCACAGCATTATGGAGGAGACGACAGACAACGGAAATCCGGTGGATCATGCCCGTAATTATTCAGGAATTCTACAACTCTATTGGCTTGCCGATGGATATGAGTAAATATGAGTTGCAATTAAAAGACTTAGAAGTTCTGAATCCAACGCACAACTGAAGCATATAGCTAAGTGGATGTAGTGTTGATCAACTGATCCAAACCGCGGTGACCGAATCGAAAAATTGATAACCGAATAAACTAAAAACCGAAATAAAATTGCAAATTTTAATTGGATTGGATCAGTTTTCAAATTGGTAGATGAAAACCGATCCAATATATTAATTTTCCTCTACTTACTTGAGTCTTTCCCCAATCATAACCCAAAAATTTCTAAACCCAAGATCCATTAAACCATCAACTAAACCCAAGAAAAAAACCTAGTCACATCTCATTAACAAAATTTTATCGATGTAGAGTTTCATATCTCATTGTTCAAAAAAAACTATATTATCGTTTATTGATGCTTTTGTATTTAAAAAAATAAAATTATAAAGTCAATATATACAAAAGATGTTATTTGCACAATAATCATGAAACATATTTTAGAATTCTAAAAAAACCAAAAATCGATCCAATCCAAACCGAAAAAAATTGGATTGGATCTGATCGGATTTGAAAAAAATTCCAAACCGAATGGATGATTACATGATCAAACCAAAGGGATTGGATCGGATAATTTTTGCTTTCAAAATCAATCCAATCCAGATCACGAACACCCCTGATCCAGAGCAGCAAAAGAGTCTCCTTCCAACCAGAGCTTAAGTCAGTTTTTTAATTAAATTGAAATGAGTATAAAATCCCTTAATTGATGCATCAAGTAATGGTTGGAATCAACTTTTACTAATGAAAGATTTAACGTAATATATAAGTACTAATGTACTATGCATTGGATGGCAATCAAGATTGGCGATATCAAATGCCAAAAATAAAATAAAATTATGAAAATCAATTTAATGATTAAAATTATAATGCTAATGTGTTTTTTAATCCTTGCTAGGCAATGGCAAAATGCATATGGGGACTCCGATATTGCTAAGAATAATACAAAGTTACTTGCTTGTTTGAGAGGTTTTATTTTTATTTTTCCTTTTCTTTATAAGAAGCAAACATAATTTTATAAAAATTTCTATTATAATTTTTTTATAATGAATAAAAAAAATTAAAAGCTCCGAAGAAGATTTTTTTAGAAGTATACTAGTTTTTTAAAATTCTCATGTTTGTTTACAAATTTTATTTTCTACCCTAATAATTTATTTTAATAACAAATCACGAAATAATTTTTAACTCTTTTTGTAATTTTTTTTACCTTCAACTTTAAAATAGTTTTTAACTTTAATTTTTTTTGCCAAACATACTCTAAAAACACAAACCAGTAGCTAGATCGGCAAATGTAAGACGCAAGTAAACTGGCAGAATAGTTAGTCAAAACCACCAAAATAAAAAAATAATATCATCACTATCTTGATGATATGAGACATGACGAAGCAATGAACAAGATGGCAAAATAATAAAAGAATAATATATATAAATCATGATCCCTCTATCTCACGTGAATAACATTGCAATTCTCAAGCCGAGGGATGTTTCTGCGTGAAGTCAAAATCCATTAGACATTAGTCCAATTATATTCAATAAATTGTCAAAGAAAGATACGTAAAACTCTCTCTCCGTTATATTATATTAGCTGTTAGCACATTCGATAATTTGTTAATGATAACTGGTTAATTCGGTAAAGAGTTATTCTGAAAAAGAAGTTATTTTGTTATTGTTTTATCCTTTTCTTTAATTTTTTAAAGAATTATATTATCATTTTAAAAATAATCAATCTGAGATAATCCTCTTACAATAGTGTACTGATAATTTGAAAAAGTTGTTGTCTGTTAAATTATCCTCAAATTATATCAACATTTTTAAAATAATTAAAAATAAAAAATTCACTACCATTATATTTCCGTTGTTTTGTATTTATCTGTTATGCACTTACTTAGTGTCATCAATAAACCTCACATAAGGGCAAACCAGAACTGGAGTCTTATTGCCCCAATATTTTAATTTGTTTTCAAAGTCTCATATAATACATGTAACATATGTACATTTATCAAACATATTTTACATGACGAGTGGATTTTTAAGCAACATTATTATTCATTTCTGTTACATCATTACATGATGATAAACATAAGATTTGTTTATTTGTTTTTTTTTGATTAAAAATATTTTTTAAATTAGAAAATATATTTGACATTTTTTAAAGGTAATAATATAATTTTTTTAGCTGAACTATATTTTTCTTTTATTAATTGTTGGTTTGACAGTAACATTAAAAAGAAATGAGTGGTCAAAAAACTAAAATAAACATGTGGAAGGGAGGGTTGTTGGCATCATTATTTATAAACTTTGAAGTTTGAATTTTGACCTCCCAATTTGCAAAGCATCATACAGAGAGGGATGCGGAACACGATGTCGACGCAGACATCAATTTGAGATCGAATTTTCATCAACACATACTTTGCCAACATTTTAACATCCACAATAATAATAATAATAATAAAAAATGATTACTTATTTACTTTTCGAAAACAATAAATATTATGGTATAAATTTAGTATGTTTACTTTGAACATGTGTTACGAACTCAATAAATGAAAATACGAATTTGATTTTTATTGAAGAAACCTGACCTTTTGCTTGAACACAGTGTTAAATTAATATTTTTAACTTTTATGTTTATTAATCAAAACTCTAATTAAATAGATAATTACACGTGAAAGCCATAATACATGAAAATAGGAACCACCTAAAACTACCTCTATCCACTCTACTAAGCTCATGGAAACTGCCAAGACTTGTTCAAACAAATTCAAATACTAATCTAGTAACTAAATAACAATAAAAACAAATAATAAAATAAAATAAAAACTAAAATCGTAACAATAAGCTGATACCTAAATCGGTAAAATAATAATTATAATTTGGAATAGAACAGAACCGGACTATACCCAGAATATTCTTATAAGCTGCATCCAAAATGAGGAAGTGCAATTCACAGTCACCTAATGCGTTCAATTCCCCTCTCGAATATTCCTCTTTATTCCCGCGTTTGGTTATCATCGCCCGAACCTGTCACACCGTCTGATCCTCTGACTAACCTAAAGTTCAGCAGATCAAACGGCTCAGATGGAATTTGAAATGCCACAGGAATAAGATTCCTAATCTATCACAAGTTCTTCTAGAGGAGAAAAAAAGGGCAACTTCAACTTACAACAAAAAAAAAAGAGAGGCAACTTTATTGGTTCATGGCCTCCTTCACCCTTACCACTTACCAGGAACTACACATATCCAATGTAATATTCCTTTGGAATCTTTTTTTTTTTTTGAGCTGTTAGCAACAACCATGTTCATTATAAATACCCTTTTCAATCTGGGTGACAAATCATAGCCAAGAACCGATTTTGAGAGCACTCAGAAACACCCAATTAGAGCGTAATTATTGTGAAGAAAGTTTATCCTTCTGGGTCATTGAGATTTCTGTCATTCCTTTGTTACCCTAAAAACAAAGATGTCTGGAATTGTGGTGGTTTTCGACTTTGACAAGACCATTGTCGATTGCGACAGTGATAACTGGGTCATCGATGAGTTGGGTTTCACCGATTTGTTCAACCAGCTCCTTCCCACCATGCCTTGGAACTCTCTCATGGTAAGTTTTTGATTCGCTTCGAAATTGTTATTCTGTTTTTTTGGTTTCACGTGCTCTGTTTTTTCAGTGTTTTGTTTTTGTTTTTGTTTATTTTATATAAATTTGCAATCTGCATTTTCTTAATGGCTTAAATAACTGAGATTTTTTATTATTATTATTTTGGTTTTGGATTTATAGGATAGGATGATGATGGAGCTTCATTCCGAAGGGAAAACCATTGAGGACATTGAAGGGGTTCTGCATAGGATTCCTATACACCCCAGAGTAATACCTGCCATTAAAGCAGCTCATGCTTTAGGGTATGTTTCTCTTTCCTAAATTTTCCATTACACAAAGTTATGTGTTTTTTTTTTTTTTTTTTTTAATTTGGGAATGAAAAAAACATTTATGTTGTTGGCATTTGTTTTTTCAGGTGTGATTTGAGGGTTGTAAGCGACGCGAACATGTTTTTCATTGAGACAATCTTGAAGCATTTGGGAATAAGGGAATACTTCTCGGAGATTAACACTAACCCAGGTTATGTTAATGAAGAAGGAAGGTTAAGAATCTTGCCATACCATGACTTTAACAAAGCTTCTCATGGCTGCAGTTTGTGCCCTCCAAACATGTGCAAGGTATATAATATATATCTTTCTTCATCCGTTCACATACTTTTCTTTGTTAAAAATAGATTTTTTCCTTAAAAAATGTGAACCTGCCTTTGATTTGTCAAAACCATTGAGTTAATTCTCAATTGAAACTTCTGATTTTTTAAAAATTGATTTTTATCAACAATACAAGTTTCTAGATATTGTAGTCAAGTTGATCTGAACTGACTCTTGCTTCTCGAGAAGTATTATATTTTTAAAATTTAAGATACTGTAACATTGGAATGTGTTCTCTTTATTATTTTGTCCTTAAAGAACACAAATTATGCTTTACCAACCAACCACTCTTTCATGGTTTTTGTCTCTGATTTGAGCCCACCAGATTTGATTTTGACCTTGGCCCACCAATCCAATATTATAATTAAATTGAATTGAATTGAATTAATCTAGCGACAGAGAATGGATTGAAGTTTTATATATTATGACCAATTATAATTCTAAATTCTTATTTTGTTACCATTACAGGGTTTAATCATCGATAGAATTCAAAATTCAATTTCCCCTGATGATAACAAGAGGTTCATCTATCTTGGTGATGGTAGTGGGGACTATTGCCCAAGCTTGAGGCTTAAAGAGAGAGACTTCATGATGCCAAGGAAGAACTTTCCCGTATGGGATTTGATATGTAAAGACCCTTTGCTTCTTAAGGCTGAAATCCATGGTTGGAGTGATGGAGAAGAGCTGGAGCAAGTTTTATTGCAGTTAATCAACAGAATCTCTGTAGAAGAAAGCGCTCAGTTCATTTCATCTGATTGCAAGCTACATACTCTATCTATCTCTGCTCATGAGACTTTGCCTAAAGTTCTCCCAGTTCGGCCATAATTGCTTAGTTTAGTATCTATGCAAAGTATCATAACTAATGGGGTCTTCTTTTTTCGTTGATAACCTTAATCAACCTTTCCTAAAATTGCTAATTTGGAATTGGTCCAAGAAGGACAGCTATAATTTCTATTAAAGACAAATATCAATATCAATTGTCTCCAACTCTCCATATCTTGCACATTGCTTAATTTAGCATTTAAGCACTATTTTACTGTGAAAATATACATAACATTAATTTATAAACATGCGAAATTGATCCTCTAAAAATATACAAAACTTTAAATTATTTTTTTGATATCATATTGTTTACTATAAAATTGGTAAATAGATAGACAAGCTAGTGGGCATTGCCTATCAGAAACTACTGTATTGTATAAATACAGGATCGATGTGATGTCTTGTTTGAAAGAAAAAATGAATGTTACCCAAAGTGGAAGGAGTGGCAGATTGTTTATTTTAAGTTAGGAATACGATCTGACATATATGCCTTTAATATATTCATTGTTATTGTGTCCATTATAATGGGTCCAGTAAACCACTTGAATTTGTTCTCAATGAGAGTTGGCACATCTACTCCTTCGGTTGAGAAGTTGTCACTTGGAGAAAAAAAATAAAATTTCTCTCTTTCATATAAGCAAATCATAAAATATCCATTTTTCATTAGCTTGAACCATGAATCATAGATAGGCCTCAATCATATTAACCAAAGAGTGTATTAGCTTTTCTCTAAATATTTTCCTCGTAGACAACCAAACAAAGAAAATATGCATGGTGACTCAATATCCACAATATATTAATAAAATATTTGGGTATTCCGGGACCAGTTCGGCAAAAGGAGAACCATAGGTTCCCACATATGTGATAATGTATTCTGGAGAAGAAAGGCCTCACTGTTTGGAAAGGATAAGCATAAAACAAAACTATGTGGAGCATCTGATATGGATGTCGGAAGAAGTTCCACGGCTAAATACCACAAAATCGTGTCAGATTATACAGCATAGGTGCAACGAGTGTTCCTCTAGGGAAATCCAATAAAATTGGAACTCTATAGAGAATATTATATAATGGCCAAGTCGAGAAATGGTTCAAATAATTTTGACTTTTCTTACGGCTTTGTGCTACGATTTTCGAATTGGTTACTTAATATAATTAATGTGAAATTGATAAAGCTTTAAGTATTCTCATTCTTTGAGTTAGTTTTTAGAGTATGACCTCAAGCCCGTAATAATTGGTGAGAATTGAGCCTACTAAAAGAACTACAATAAATTGGATTAAGGTGTTATACCTTCTAAAGGGGTGTTGTACTAAATAGGTGAATGAAGCCGTAAGAGGGAAAGAGCTATTATTGAGTCAGTGTTAATAAGTGAAAGTCGCTGTGAATGTCAGCTCTTAAAGAGAGTGACAATGTTACGAGTCCCTCATTAGTTGCATATACTAATGTGAGATTTATTACCTTTTAAACTAGCTTTTGGAATGATGACCTCAAAATTTATTTTTTATAAAGAGTGTATCTGTTAAATATTGCATTAAATTTATTTCCTATAAAAAAGTATATATGTTAAATATAATTAAATCGGATCCAATGGATGTGACTTAGTTAGCAACACCAGTTGAGTAGATTGGGAAAAGAAAATGAGTTCAATTCCCACCCAATAACCCTGATTCAGAATTAGTTTCATTGCCATAACTATGATTAACCTTGACTCGGGGTTAGTCTCAATTAAAGCTTGGAGGATATTCGGGGGCCTACTCATCTCAAAGAGATTATTAGGTTCGGTGTGGAAAAAAAATAACTAAAACCAAGTAAGATATTAAAAACCTTTTTCATCTGGCAAGAATTTAGGAAAGACAATAGCAACTCCATGTTTTTGATCCAGCAAACAAGCAAAAGAAATTAAACAAATAATATTTGTAAATGTAAAATAATTTGTATTTTTCCTTATGAATATAACATTATAACTTAACAATAACAAGTGATAGAAGAATATCAAGAAGAAAGACTCTAGATAAAAAAAAAAAACTTATATTGTCACTATGAACTTAAGGCATTAGATAGTCCATTGAATAACAATAAATTAAACGTTCAAAGTACAAATCGAGGTCATTCATTCTCAAACCGTTTATCACATTTCCAAAGGCATTACACAATAGCCAAAAAATAAAACAGAGAGTTCATAGCCAAAGACACCAAAATAAGTCACAAATGCCATGTAGCTAATAGTTGCTTGTTTTGGACCACCATGTCTCTGCTTATACTCCTGAATTAGATTTCTATAACTTCTGTTATTATCCTCATGCTCCTGGCGAGATTGACTATTTGATACCATCCAAAGATTTGAAATGATCAAGTCACACAAGTCTGAGAAATTCGTATGATATAACAAAGTTAATAAGAAAATAAAATTCAACCATGAAACATTTCTAATATTTTATTGAACTGAAAACGTTCTGTTGGTGCATATTGGTCGTGCATGAGCTACATTTAAATTGACAAGCAAACTTGTTAAAAATAAAAAGAAGAAAAAACCAATTTCAATTAAAAAGGAGTCATCAGTCTAATATATATTCACTGTAATTGAAAAGTCCAATCATGACCGATCACCCCATGGCCATCATTATAAAGAATATACATTAATGCTTTTTAAAGGAAACTAGTGCCTATTCCCGAGAACTTTACAACATATAACTTTGATATTCTGAACATCACAAAAGTAACAAAAGTAAAATTGTTCTTTCATGACTGAAAGGTCATGAGTTCGAATTCAGAAAACAGTTAATTGCAAAGATAAAGTTGCGTACAAGAATTTTCTCCACCCCACACTCGCTAGTCGGATTTAACGAGGAGCGATTTTTACAAAAGTAACAAACCTAAGAGCCTTCAAGGTGAGAGTTTGATATATTTCACTGATGAACAAAGTAGGACAGAGCATGCAACTATTCCTTAGTTGCATTTGAAAAAGTCTACTTGGTAAAATAATTGAAGTAACATATTTAAGCAAGGCAATGCAAACTTAAAGCTGGGTATATTTTTAGGGGATCAATTTCACATGTTTATAAATTAAACTGATATTATGTATACTTTCACAGTAAAATAGTGCTTAAATGCTAAATTAAGCACTCTGAAAGATATAGAAACAATTGATATTTGTATTTAATAGAAATTATAGCTGTCCATCTTGGACCAATTCCAAATTAGCAATTTTATAGGAAAGGTTGATTAAGGTCACTCAAAGAGAAAAGATGACTCACTTAATGTAATCTTCCACCTCGAAAGAATTAGTTTTCGGTTGTTATCCCGAGCAAGAAAAAAAAATAAAAAATGACCCATGAGTTATAATACATTTGCATGGATACTAAACTAAGCAATTATGCCGAACTGTGAGAACTTTAGGCAAAGTCTCATGAGCAGAGATAGATAGAGTATGTAGCTTGCAATCAGATGAAATGAACTGAGCGCTTTCTTCTATAGAAATTCTGTTGATTAACTGCAATAGAACTTGCTCCAGCTCTTCTCCATCACTCCAACCATGGATTTCAGCCTTAAGAAGCAAAGGGTCTTTACATATCAAATCCCACACGGGAAAGTTCTTCCTTGGCATCATAAAGTCTCTCTCTTTAAGCCTCAAGCTAGGGCAATAGTCCCCACTACCATCACCAAGATAGATGAACCTCTTGTTATCATCAGGGGAAATTGAATTTTGAATTCTATCGATGACTAAACCCTGTAATGGTAAGAAAATAAGAATTTAGAATTATAATTGGTCATAATATATAAAACTTCAATCCATTCTCTGTAGGTAGATAAATTCAATTCATTTTAATTATAATATTGGATTGGTGGGCCAAGGTCAAAATCAAATCTGCTGGGCTCAAATCAGAGACAAAAACCATGAAAGAGTGGTTGGTTGGTAAAGCATAATTTGTGTTCTTTAAGGCCAAATTGCCAAAATAATAAGGAGACAACATTCCAATGTTACAGAAACTTAAAATTAAAAAATATGATACTTCTCCAGAAGCAAGAGGCAGTTCAGATCAACTTGAATACAATATCTAGAAATTTGTATGCTTGTCAATCGTTGATAAAATCAATTTTTTTTAAAAAAAAATCATTAGATTCAATTGAGAATTAACTCAAGTAAAATTTTCTCTATGGTTTTGACAAACCAAAGGCAGGTTCACATTTTTTAAGGAAAAAATCTATTTTTTAACAAAGAAAAGTAAGTAAACGAATGAAAAAAGATATATACCTTGCACATGTTTGGAGGGCACAAACTGCAGCCATGAGAAGCTTTGTTAAAGTCATGGTATGGCATGATTCTTAACCTTCCTTCTTCATTAATATAACCTGGGTTAGTGTTAATCTCAGAGAAGTATTCCCTTATTCCCAAGTGCTTCAAGATTGTCTCAATGAAAAACATGTTCGCGTCGCTTACAATCCTCAAATCAGACCTGAAAAAACAAATACCAACAACATAAATTTTTTCATTACCAAATTAAAAATTAAAAAAAAAAACTTAACTTTGTGTAATGAAAAAAATAGAGAGAGCTATATTTACAAACTTTTTTTTTTTTACAAACTCTTACAATCCTCAGACAGTATAATTTGAAAAAAAAAATTATAAATGGATTTTTTTTCGTGGAAAATTTAGGAAAGAGAGACATACCCTAAAGCATGAGCTGCTTTAATGGCAGGTATTACTCTGGGGTGTATAGGAATCCTATGCAGAACCCCTTCAATGTCCTCAATGGTTTTCCTTTCTGAATGAAGCTCCATCATCATCCTATCCTATAAATCCAAAACCAAAATACCAAAAAACTCAGTTATTTAAGCCATTAAGACAATGCAGATTGCAAAGTTAAATAAAATAAAATAAACAAAACACTGAAAAAACAGAGCACATGAAACCGAAAAATCAGAATAACAAATTCGAAGCGAATCAGAAGCTTACCATGAGAGAGTTCCCAGGCATGGTGGGAAGAAGCTGGTTGAACAAATCGGTGAAACCCAATTCGTCGATGACCCAGTTATCACTGTCGCAATCGACGATGGTCTTGTCAAAGTCGAAAATCACCACAATTCCAGACATCTTTGATTTTTAGGGTAACAAAGGGAATGACAGAAATCTCAATGACCCAGAAGGATAAACCTTCTTCACAAGAATTACGCTCTATTTGGGTGTCTCTTTGTGCTCTCAAAATCAGTTCTTGGCTTGGATTTATCACCCAGATTCAAAAGGGTATTATTTATAATGAACATGGTTATTGCTAACAGCCCAAAAAATAACGTTACAAATATATTATAAGGGTTTTATAATTCTCATTTTATAATTTTCCTACACACTATTCAATTTTCGTGCTGACAAGAGTTCTACATATAATTTTTTCTAACACATGGGTCCCACATGCTTTTTATCTCTACAACATGAAAATTGAATTCTCATTTAACATGAGAAAATCAAACCCCATATTATAATTAGCGTTTCCTTATTTCATTAGGGTTTTTTTTATTAGGTCTGATTATATTAGGTTTGGGCTTAGTCCATTAGCATGTCTATATATATTGTACATCTTTCATCAGATTAATACACATAGTTTTATTTCAAATGTTTCTCTGTTCTCTCGTTATTTAACATGGTATCAAGAGTCTAAGGAACTTTGAAATTTTTTTCCGGTGAACCCACTGTTTATTGTCTTTAAAATTTTTTCCAGAGCTGTCTCATTGTCAGTTTCCGGACGTTTTCTCTCCGTATACAGCTGCCAGAACCTCTGCCCCGTCCAGCACCATCGTCCGGTGACCTTTTCCGGCGATCCACATACCGGCGTGCTCGTCTCAGCAGCGCGATTCCAATGGCACCGGTCGTGTCCCCAAACAAGGTCACACGCGCCCTCACGCGCGCGTGACAGTTCTCCCACTCTCTTCACACCGGCAGCGCGTGGGGAAGCGTGGAGGCTCCTCTCCGGCCGTGGCTGGTCGCGATCTTCTCGTCTCCTTGCGTAGGTTCTGGATCTGGTCTTGTTTTGGTGTTTGGACCTTTTTTTGCGTTGACGCACAGATCCCTCTTCTACCGATTAGTTGTGTGATCTGACTTTCTGATTTTTTTTTTCTGATCTTGATTATAGACTCTCTTGTCTCCACTGTTTCTGGGTCTCCGGCTAGACAAAGTCGGAGTCTACTATTTTTTCAAATTATATTCTTGCTCCGTTGAGTGTGGATAAATTGGATGGATCCAACTATGATACTTGGTCATCCGATCTGCGCCTTTGGTTGGACGGACATAATTATACATCCCATCTCAGCACTAAGGCTGAATCCGTGACGGCCACTGAGCGCACACGATGGAAGATGATTGATGCTCAGTTGTGTAGTCTCATTAAGGCTACTCTTCATCTGTCAATTAAGCAGATTTTTTGGAAGCTTCATGGAAAGCCACCTCAACCTCCTCGGAATGCTCATGTTGCTCAGGCTTTCTCCAGTACCTCTGCTCCAGGGTTACCTTCTGGTGCACAACCTCCAGCTGCTCTTCTTAACGAATTTGCGACTTGGTGCTCTGAGAAGCAAACATCAGGTCCTACTACATCCATTGCTCCCACTGGTAATTCTTTTGCTGGAATCTCTCAGTTGCACTCTATAGGCCCTTGGACTCTTGATTCTAGGACTTCTAATCACATTTCTAGTAATAAGTCCTTATTCACCTCCATTTGTACTACTGGTTCTTTTCCCACTATTACTATGGCCAATGGGTCTCTGGTCCAATCACGGGGGATTGACACGGTTCTTCTTTTACCTAATTTACCTCTGGATTATGTTCTCTATGTTCCAGATTCTCCTTCTAACTTACTTTTTGTTAGTCGTTTGAAAAAATCCATTGACTGTGTTGTTTCTTTTACTAAAACCTCTGTCATCTTTTAGGATCAGAGTTCGGGGAAGGAGATTACCAAAGGATGTGAGTCTCAGGGCCTCTATCAACTATTTCCTTCTTCTTCAGCCTGCTCCACTGTGGATTCTCCTCTTACTATACATGCTCGTATGAGCCATCCTAGTCTTACAAAGCTTTAGAAGATGGTTCCACATTTATCGTCTCTTTCTAAATTAAATTGTGAGTCTTGTCAGTATGGGAAACATACTCGTAGTACGTTCCCAAGTCGTCTTAGTCGTCAAGCTGTTTCTCCTTTTTCTGTGGTCCACTCTGATATTTGGGGACCAAGTCGTCATTCTTCTACTCTAGGATTTAAGTATTTTGTTACTTTTATTGATGATTATTCCAGATGTACTTGGTTATTTTTAATGAAAAATCGGTTTGAGTTATTTTCTATTTTTCAGTTATTCTACAATGAAATAAAAACTCAAATTAGTATTCCTATTCGTACTTTTCATAGTGATAATGCTTGTGAGTATTTATCGCATCAATTTCAACAATTCTTTTCATCTCATGGCATTCTTCATCAAACATCTTGCCCTTATACACCCCAACAAAATGGTGTAGCCGAGCGCAAGAACCGCCATCTTGTTGAAACCGCTCGTGCTTTGTTAATTGATGGCAATGCTCCATACACATTCTGGGGTGATGCTATACTTACTGCATGCTATCTCATTAATCGCATGCCATCATCTGTCCTCAATCATAAGGTATCTCACTCTATTTTATTTCTCCATCAAGTTTTATATCCTTTGACCCCACATGTGTTTGGTTCTACATGTTTTTGTTCATCATCTTGGTCCAGGTTTAGATAAATTAGCTCCCAAGTCTCATAAGTGCATTTTTTTGGGTTATCCTCGGTCTTAAAAGGGTTACGTTGCTACTCTCCAACTTTACATCGATACTTTATCTCGGCAGATGTTTCCTTTTTTGAATCAGTTCCCTTTTTTGTATCTTCTACTACTCCTGTGGACATTGATTCTGTACAGCCATATCTCCCAGTCAACTTTTTTGAATACCTTCCGTCTTTACCAATCCATGTTTTTGACTCTCTTTCTATCACATCTTCTCCTGATGAGGTCGAACATAGTTCGTCAGATGTTTCTGTGGACTCACATTCGACTGCATCTCCTCCCTCAGCTTCGGTCCCACCTTCGGATAGTGACCTTCCCATTGCTCTTCGTAAGGGTACTCGTGATACTCGCCCTCCAGCCATGTATACAGTTAATATTAGTTATCATCGTCTTTCTCCATCATATTTTGCATGTCTTCCCTCTTTGTCCTCTGTTAGGAACTACAAGTGATGCACTTTCACATTCGGGATGGAGTCAAGCTATGATTGATGAAATGAGTGCTCTTTATCATGATGGTACATGAGATTTGGTTCCTCTTCCATCTGGAAAATCTATGGTTGGTTGCAGATGGATTTATGCTGTTAAGGTTGGACCTGATGGTCAAGTGGATCGTCTTAAAGCTCGCTTGGTGGCAAAGGGTTTCACTTAAGTGTTTGGATTGGATTTTGTTGATACTTTTTTCCTGTGGGGAAATTGTCTACTGTTCGCCTCTTTATTGCCATGGCTGCTATTCGCCATTGGCCTCTTTACCAACTTGATATCAAGAATGCTTTTCTCCATGGTGATCTTGAAGAGGAAATTTATATGGAGCAACCTCCTGAATTTGTTGCTTAGGGGGAGTCAGGTCTTATTTGTCGTCTTCGTAAGTCTCTCTATGGCCTCAAACAATCTCCAAGAGCTTGGTTTGGTAAATTTAGCAGTGTTGTTCAACAATTTGGCATGACTCGGAGTGAAGCTGATCATTCTCTCTTTTATCGTCATTCCACTTATGGATTTATTTACCTGGTGGTATATGTGGATGATATTGCCATCACAGGTAGTGATCGGCATGGGATCACCCAATTGAAACAACATTTATGTCATCATTTTTAGACTAAGAATCTTGGAAAACTCCGATACTTCTTGGGAATCGAGGTGGCCCAATCTAAAGCTGACGTTGTGATATCTCAGAGGAAATATGCTCTGGATATTCTTGAAGAAACTGCTCTATTAAATTCAAAGTCTGTTGATACTCTTATGGATCCAAGTATCAAGCTTCTACCAAATTAAGGGGAGCCCTTTCCAGATCCTGAGCAGTATAGAAGATTGGTTGGAAAATTGAACTACCTCACAGTCACTCGGCCTGATATTTCATTTGCAGTGAGTGTTGTCAGTCAATTTCTTAATTCTCCATGTCAAGAACATTGGAATGCAGTCATTCGTATTCTTAAGTATATCAAGGCATCTCCAGGAAAAGGCCTTGAATATGAAGATAAAGGTCATGATAAAGTTGTTGGGTACTGTGATGCTGATTGGGCTGGTTGTCCAGCTGATAGGAGATCTACTTCTGGGTATTGTTTCTTTGTTGAAGGCAACTTGATTTCCTGGAAAAGTAAGAAACAAAGTGTAGTTTCCAGATCAAGTGCTGAAGCAGAATACCGCTCCATGGCGACTACAATACTTGCGAGATCATCTCTGACTTAAACAACTTCTCAGAGAGTTTAAGTTTGGAGACACTGGACAGACAACTCTCATTTGTGATAATCAAGCAGCTCTGCACATTTCATCAAATCCAGTGTTTCATGAAAGAACCAAGCATATAGAAATAGATTGTCACTTTGTTCGAGAAAAGATTTTTGCTGGTGAAATTAAAACTAGTTTTGTACCCTCTAATGAGCAATTAGCAGATGTGTTTGCAAAATCTTTAAGGGGTCCTCGAATAGAGTTTATATGTAACAAGCTTGGTGCATATGACCTATACGCTCCAGCTTGAGGGGGAGTGTTAGAAATATATTGTAATTAGGGTTTTCTTATTTCATTAGGGTTTTTTTGTATTAGGTCTGATTATATTAGGTTCCGGCTTAGCCCATTAGCATGTCTATGTATATTGTACATCCTTCATCAGATTAATACACACAGTTTTATTTCAAATGTTCCTCTCTTCTCTCTTGTTATTTAACAAATAAAAAAATAAGGAGTGTTTGGCAGAGGAATTTTTTTAAAAAATAAGATGAAAAATATTGAGTTTACGATAATATCCAGAAATAAAAATTTTAAAATATTCAATTTTCCATGAATCCTACAAAATACCTTCTACCAAACACCCCCTAAATAGATTCCAAAGGAATATGTGTATTTCCTGGTATGTGGTTTAGGTCATGAGAATCAAACGCGAGAATAAAGAGGAATATTCGAGAGGGGATTGAACGCATTAGGTAACTAACT